GCAAAGAAACATTTGAAGTTCAGTTTTTTTCTTTCTTTTCAATTGTTAGTCTTGGCATGTATATTATATCTTTACAATGTTATCTAAATCCCTAGATTTGGAATCCCACCATCCCAACAGGCCCTTATTTGAATTATCTGGTATCTTGATAGGAATTAGGTGACAGGAAACATCATGACTGATAATTTATATATCTTAGCAACTCAACTTGACAACCACTCATCCCTTTCTAATTCGTATCTAAAATCAAATACAGTACTGGACATGTTTTATAGGAAAAACTGAAAATTTTGCATTTAATTATTGTTGTGTCTACATTATCTTTATAAGGTGAACTGCCAATTTAGTTCCCGAATTATCACTTCAGTGAAAATTAGGTCTCTAAACTATTTTTTTAAAGAAAAATCAGTCATTGAATTATAAAAATCTGCCACTTATATCCCTAATATTATATTAGAAACTACTATATTCAATTTTTCATCAATTTAAGCCACATTACTTGCATTTGATACACATTGGAGGGTAAATTGGTAGTTTTTCATAAAGAAATAGTGTATGGAGTTAACTTTGGAGGATAAATTGGTAGTTTTTGATAAATAAATAAAAAATAGTGTAATTTAACTTTTGAGGGTAAATGAGACGTTAATTCGCAACCTATATGAAATATTAAAGGCTTATAGACAAGAAAATGATGGTATTACACTCTAACACGCTATTGTTAGGATGCAATGAGAATGGTGTTGCATCCCGCATTACTTAGTTGTGTTCCCGCTGCGCTAACTTTCTAACTTCGCCCTTGCTAGTATATAAAAAGTTTATGCAAATGTTACTTTACCAAGAATGCAGAAAGAAAAAAAAATGCAGAATCATTTCCTATTCTATTTGTACGCAAAAAAACTCTGCGTGCATTAGTAAATGGATGGTGATAGAAAAGAACTCACTTTCCATGAACAGGTGACATACTAGTGAAAAAGCCCCTCGTCTTCCCGGGATCCATGTTCATCTGCACCCATCTTACCAAACTTTTCATCGCCATACGATATGCTTCCATGGTTGGCATCTCCACGACATTTTTCACCTCATCATCAAAGGACCCTAATCTGCAAATTAAAAGCTTAAGCAATTAGACATATAATTAAGCAATGCAGGAAGAAAAGGTAAACTACTTAAACAAATAATTAATATGCATAATTTGTGAAAATTAAGGAGAGATATTGATGTGTGTACAAGATTTTAAACTTGAAGCGTGCAGTCATCCACCAGAGGTAGGTGTTAAACACCAATATGTCAACACCCTCCCAATGTTTTCCATGCTTATTGATGGATCCTTTCCTTACAATCTTTTCAGATACCCTATGCACCACGGCATTATCTGAGTTTGATTCAAGAAGAAATGGTGCCCAATAGAACTCAATTGTGGCATTGTATTCCTGAAAAAACTTGGAAAATAATAATGTCAAAGATTTCACAGAAGGTGCTCAGCGGTCCACTATTAATGGGTCAAGCACAGATATTGTTCCTACCAACAACGACCTTGCGCGGGTGGAAAGCGCTTGTTTTGCGGCTCCGGCACTCTGAGCTAATATCACCCAATTTCGCTACATGTTAGCTAGTTGGTGTGCGGTTTTATCACATGCAATTAAAAGTGAAACCACTTGAATATAAGTTATATTTTACATCATGCAACAAAATAATTCAGTAAAACAGGAACAACTTTGTTCATTTGGTATGAAACAAAATAATGAAACACTTGATCACCTTGGCTATGAAAACAGTTCGTGAGTCTGATTCGAAGGATTCCATAGCTTTAGCATAACTGGGGATAACTGAGCGGAGAAGGCAAATCATGGAAGCAAATTGACCCCGGTTTAGAGAATCTCCGACGAACATCATCCTCCACCCTCGTAGTGTCTCGAGCATCAGAGTGGCGTTGAAGCTGCAGGAATATGTTGCCACAAGGGTATTGTACATGTTACAATCAATAATCCAACATCAAGAAACATAAATTATGGTTTATTTGTTGGAGTTTTAAACACTGCATGCATAGAACCACATATACACGATGACATGCATACGTAAATACAATGAATAACTTACCTGGAGAAGTGCTCGACATCAGCGCAAGGGATATCGGGAGTCTTCTACACTCAGCAGCTATATCCAGCTAGAATAGGGTTTGCTCAGGAAAAGGATGGCGCTGTGAGTGTAGGGACGTCCCAATATATAGCCAACCATCCTAGGTATCAGGCCTATCAACTGATACCCGGATTGCTACATTGATTAGGGTTCAATACAGTCCTATTCCATTATGAACTCTTGTCAAAACATGATAAGGTTATCTGATTAATTTGCATGTTTGTTAGGACTCTCAATCCCAGCCAATTAAGTCCGAAATCTTCTCAACTTGATAACTTAAAACTAAGGTACAAGTTTAACGAGAACTAGAAGTCATTCTCCTTGACACTCACATCTTACATTATTAGCTCTTAAGTGACAAAAGCATACGGTTAGGGTCCAAACATTTGTGGGTATTTTGTAAGGTCTACAACTTTATAGGCTCACAACGGATTGGGCAGTTGACCCACATATTACAAAGAAAATAAGACTATGTAACTACTAATAAGATTTGATTTCTACGCACTTATTTTTATTTTTATATATTTTTATTTTTTGAATTGAATAAACAAAAGAAAAAAAAAGTGGGAATCATTTCGCTTAAGTTCCTAGTAAAAATTGGAGAAAACGAGAAATTTGCGAGTTTTACCTCCAATGCAATGTTCTTTTCGAATATTGGGATTTTAATCGATTGTAAAATTGGGTTAATGACTAGTATGGGATGTCTCGCATTCAACTTAGATGTATATACAAGCTTTCGATACAAAATTGTTAATGTTGGTCGTGTAGTTTGGCTCAAATTACTTGCCCCTTCGTTAATATCCCCACACTACACCACAAAAGCTCATCAAGAATGCAAAAAATGCGTCATTGTTTCAGTTCTAGGAGGCGAAAATTAAGTGTTCTTGATGGGGAGGTCCTTGTTTCCCCCAATTTAGGACTCAAATATATCGCAGGAACTGTGTACTTGTATCTTAAAGAAGGATAAAAAAATATGTTGTATGAGATTACAATTGTCCTTCCAAACCGTTTTGTTTCTCGGTGACGAGATTGTAAGTAGGGATCGAGAGAACTGGGAGAGTTCCCGTCGTACGATGCTTTAGTAAAGCGAAAAACCGGCTCAACTTTCCCAAATAACGCCGATTAAAACGACTTTTTTTATAGAGACTGAGCCACTGACCTGGGAAGATCGCAGCCGTGGGTCTGCCAACGCCATTTCTGGTACTTTGTCGGGTCGCCCGTGTTCATGGCAAGTCAGCTGCGGCTGAATGTACGGGCACTCCGATTCCTCGTAAAGCGACCGAGTCAACTCGTCAAAAAATCCACCTCCCGCTGAACACGTCGCACCCTTCCTCGTTCTTACCGATGGTGAACGGCGGCAGCTCCTCCCTCTTCGTCTCTAACCCCATAATTCGGACGGCAGTGGGGCCGAGTTGAAGATCTACGTCGAAAATGCACGTCAAATCCTCGCCGAAGAAAAAGACGGCAAAGAGAAGCAAAGCGAACACTGTAAAGAGGTGATGGGAGACGCGACACTTCCGTACAATAGGAGTTGGTGGCTTCATTTTTGCATGCATGGGCTTCTGGTGCTGTACCTTTTTTTTTTTTTTTTTTTTTTTTTTTATGAATCTGTTTATAATTAAGATTTTACTTGTTAAGGGTATAGAGGTCGTCGATGAAGAAAGAAGATAATGATTATATAGAAATAATATTTGATGTTTCTAATTAATAAGTTTCCATTTTTGATGATACGCAATCTACAGTATATTACAATATTTGATGTGTGGTAAAATTTCCTTATGTACTCCTTTCCTTGCCTTTTGATTTTTGAAGAAGATACAAGCAGTAGGTTTTTGTTCTAAAAACCCTAGATTCATAATCCCACACCCAATCGTAGAACCGAAATTCATATTCTAAAGCATTAATTTTTTACACTCGCATTTTGTCCATTTGAGTTCCTTCTCTTTCTTTTTTTAATAAAAAAGAGGACAACTGAGAGTGACGTTATCCACCCATTTTGGTCTCGGAGGAGACTAGTTGGGATTTTCGCACTCTTATCCGTTCGAGTTCCTTCTCTCTCACTTTAATGCTTTGGAATGGTTCTCTAATTTTGATTACTTAGTTAACAAGACACGAGAAGTACGTAAGTGAGTGAAGAGAATGGAAGTTGATAAGTACAGTAGCAATCAATTATTTAAAGTGGATGCCTTGTACAACAAGGAAGATGGTGGTCATATTCCAATGATAATGGGTTGCGGTGTCCCTAAATTTGTAAGGACTAAATGGTCTAACATCAGAAGGATGGAGAATCTGAAAGTGGTATAAGAGTTCTTGGGCAACCCTTCACTTATTACAAGCTGGTTTAAGTTCTACTCACGAGCTCTTAACAAAATTAGTGGAGAACTCTAGGCACTTGCGGGTTATCGACTTCATTGTCTCAACCCCAGCAACTCGGCTCGTCAGATGAACCCGCCCGCATCTTGACTCTTAGCTCCAACTGAAACTCATGAGGCGCTGCCACAGGCACCAACACTGCCTGAAGGTTGTTGCCGGCCAGAGACCAGTTGGTTGCTTTGTGCTAGAACTTCTTTTTTCCTGAGTGGCTTTTGAAAATTAAATCTCAATCATCCACTTATTTTGCTTTGTAAAATTAGAAGCTATGATTATATATTAGAGGGAGCTCTCAAGTTTGACTAACAAAAACGACAACGTACGATGCATATTTGGCCAACAGTACCAACATGTTTTTAGAAGTTGATCAGTGAGTGATACCTGATGGTTTGCAAAAATTACAATGTCATTTGGCTTCAAAGCCGGAACAGAGTGCCTTTGAAAACAATGTGATAATTCTCTACTTTCTTTTAATTAATTACTATACTCAAGTATTCTCCTTCAAAAACCTCAAATTTCATAACAAAATTTTCATTTTTCACATTTCAACTTCAAAGCAGGATTCATCTATCTTCCATCTCACATTTTTCATGGATAACTAATTTACACTTATTCCTTGCCACCAGCAAGATCTCACCATGCAATGACCATCTTGAAAGGGCAGAGGACGAGAGCTCACCACTTTGGACCATGATCAAGGATAGAAAAGTTTGGCGAACAGAAGCTCGTTCCAAGTATCTTGAAGGCCAGGCAAACACCAATGCACGCAATCGGCATAGCTAACAGGGTTGGCTATTTGCTCGGGAGTCAGAGGGGACCACTGCTTCTTGTAGATTGATGTGTGGGCGTCCTTGCGATAGTTTGAGAGTTGCGTGATGTTGAGAAAAGAAATGGGCACCTTCGATTTGCTGAATACATCTCCAATTACCTCCATTATGTTTTTCCGGGAATCTGAACCCCAGTAGTTTGGATCCTCAATCAAAGTAGTCTGGTTGTAACAGTTACCTCCTGGTTCACCTCCCCATTCTATACCACTGCCAAATATCAAATGTCAGTCCACCTTAATCTTGTGAAAACTTCAAGCACAAGTTACGCATCGGGGTCCTCACAATTTTGAATGCTATACGTATGATTTGAATAAATAGGGTTGAGAGAATTGTGCTCACTTTCCATGAGAAGGTGACATGCTAGTGAAAAAGACCCTTGTCTTCTTGGGGTCCATGTTCTTCCGCACCCATCTTAACATAGTTTTCATCGCCATACGATAAGCCTCTGTCGTTGGCAGCTTCACAATATCTTTCACTTCATCATTGAAGGAACCTAGTCTGAAAATTAAAATTTTAGCGATTAGACATTTTTTTAAGCAATATAGGAAGAGAGAGTCAAGCAATTTATAATTTGATAGGGGCAAGAAAGTACAATATTTTAAATTCGAAGCCGGTCATCCACCACAGATAAGTATTGAACACCAATACATCAACGCCCTTCCAATGTTTGCCGTGCTTATTGATCGACCCTTTCCTAACAACCCTGTCAGATATCCTATGGACGATAGCATTATCCGAGTTTGATTCAAGCAGAAACGGCGCCCAATAGAACTCGATTGTGGCATTGTATGTCTACACATTATGGAACAAAGAATAGTAAATGAGTCAGTAAAACGTCAATGCACATTTGAGAAGCATGAGAAAAAGTGAAAACGTCAATGAAATGTCACCTTGGCTGTGAAAACAGTTCGCGAGTCTGAGTCGAAGGTTTCCATGGATTTGGCATCATCCGGGATGAGCTTGTGGAGAAGACAAATCATGGAAACATACTGACCCCGGTTCAGAGAATCTCCAACGAACATCATCCGCTTCCCTCGTATCATCTCGAGCATCAATGTGGCATTGAAGCTGTATAATTTGTGAGAAAAATGTTATACATGTTACTCTATTGGTAAATTAGAAAAAATCCACCATCGAAGGATATATGATTTTTATAAGATTATCAAATTAATGTTAATACCAATGACATTGTAACACCAAATAAAAACTACCAGTGACAAATATGCAGAAGTATATATTATTAGAAAGTAAAATTATGTATTTTAGCTTGGCTGTTTATGAATAAATTAAACATACTATAGTTTGTTAGGACAATTGTGGCACAACTAGGGGCTGTTTGAGGGATTGAGATCCTCTCCGGATCTCAAACTCTAAAGCCTGCTAACCGAGCAATCCAGACCTTAAATTTTGTGGTCTTCATTAGCCCATCTCATTGGCCTACCTCACACAACACATCTCTCTCTCCAACGTCCATATCTCTCTCTCTCTCTCTCTTAAATGCTCTGATTGCTTGGGCCGTGGGCTGAGATCAAGAGACGATCTTAATCCCTGTTTGAGATTGTATCTCTAAGTACATATGCTCACAAGCGCTTATGTTAAAAGTAATTTTATGATAAACACATTGAAATGTTTAGTAAAAATCAAAGTATTGTTACGTGCTTCTCTTGAAAACGCTTCTAATACATAGAAGCACTTTTAGATAATTTCCGGGCCGTTCTCAATAGCCTATACTATCGAACTCCCTAAGCCCGTACACAATTTGGGCCCCACAACATCACGTAGTTTTAGGATTAGGATCCTCTCCTGACTCTTAAAAACTGAGCTTGCTGAGTAGGTAATCATGACCGTTAAAATTTGATCTAATGGTTACAATTATTATAATTTTTAAAAAGCTTTTATTTGTAACCGTTGGATTAAATTTCAACGGCCACGATTACTTGCTCAACAGGCTCAGTTTTTAAGATCAAGAAGATTCTGATCCGTTGTTTTATGGACCACCGGGCCCCGTCCCTTAGTTGTCTCGAACGGGCGACAGATGGAAGGAATGTACGCGATCTCGATTTCCCCGGGAACATAACGGCAGCTATAAAACGACTGTCGACCCGGCCGGCTGGAAGCAACCCAGCCGGTTCGATTGGGAAAACCCGTTCGTCAAACAAGGACAATGGGACAAAACCGTTTCGTTTGTCGGTGACGAGATACGTAAGTGGGATACAGAACTAGGAGAGTTCCGGTCGTACGATGCCTCTTGTAAAGCTCAAAACGGAAAGCAAAAAATCGGCTCAACTTTCCCAAACAACGCCGATTAAAACGAGGAATTGACGCGTTTTTTATTATAGTGACTGAGCAACTGACCTGGGAAGATCGCAGCCGTGGGGCTGCCACCGCCATTTCTGGTAGTCCTTGTCGGGCCGCCCGTGTTCTTGGCAGGTTAGCTGCGGCTGAATGTACGGGCACTCCGATTCCTCGTAAAGCGGCCGAGTCGACTCGTCAAAAATCCACCTCCCGCTGTACACGTCGCACCCTTCGTCGGTCTTGCCGACGGCGAACGGCAGCTTCTCCCTCTTCTTCCCTAGCCCAAAACGCAAAACCCAATTAAGTAAATTGAAAAATATTCAAATTTTTGCAATAGGAAATTGGTTGACTCGGTGGAATGAGGTGGGTTGACTCAACGGTTTTGATAACGAGTGGGTCGGAGCTGGTGGTGAGTTGACGCTGCTGGCCGAAAATGCAGGTGAGGTCCCCGCCGTAGAGGACAGAGACGAAGAGGACGAAGGCGAGGAGGGTGAAGAGGTAGGGAGGGAGTCTAGCCTTGCGGAAGACGGCGGCGGAGGAGGAGTACGGCGGTGGCTTCATTAGTATTGTGAAATCGTATAATTGTGTTTGGATGTGTGATTTAGTTTCGGTTGGAAACTATGAGATGGAGGTCCATAGAGAGTCGTCGCCTGTGAGAAGAATAAATAAGAAGTTTTAACGAAAAGTTCAGTTCTGAAAAATCATATTTTTACACTAAAAAGTTAATTATGATACTATCTACTTTACCGTTTATTTTGTTGTTATCATTAAAACTCAAAGTTTTCAAGCCATTTTTATTAGTTTTCCTGAATAAATATACAAGAATCATGTGGGTCGGAAATATTATATTAAAAATCGACAGTCCCAGCTTCGAGTATGTTCATCATACACTTTATTATTTATCATGTGTCATTCCAATTAATCATAATTTTTCTTTTCCATTTAATCATAGTTAAATTTCACAATAAATGCTCCCTTTTAATTTTGAAGAAAAATTAACTATGATTAGATGAATGAACACATAGCAGATGATGAGATGGTTACGGTGGTGAGCAACAATGCACCTATTTTAATACTGTTGTAACAAAAAAAAGAAAAATGAATTAAATTATATTCTCTACAAGGTGGACTTAGCCTCATAATTAGCTAGCAATAATGTGATTCAAATTCGCACATGGCAAAAATTGAACATAAGACCTCTCACTTACAAATAAAGAGGAATACCACTATGCCTTAATACTTAAGTGGCAAAGGAGGAGTAAATCTAAAATTGAAGAAATTTTTAAAAGGAAGAGCAACTAGTAGTTTTGATATGACAGCCCACTCTTTTAGAGGCTGGAAAGACTCATGGGAGCATTTCAACCTACTCCTAATCATCATTAGGCGATTCACTAGCGCTAGGAATCGAATCCAAGACTTTGTCCCCAATCACTTGGCAACAACGCCGTGGTGGTTTGATTCCCTTCCTATTAAGGCCAACATGATATCCAAAGGTAGGCCAATGAATAGTAAATTGCATCTCAGGCATTTCTGTGTATGGGAAATCATTAAACCAAATACCATTTCTGGTCCCAAAAGAAAAACTGAATTCCAAGAATACAAGTGGAGTGGAGTGGGTGAGACTAGTGGTGCATGATTATAATGTGGCTTTGATTTCTAAGGCAAGTAATAGTGTCTTATCACTTTCTCTACTTTGAGAGAGAGAGAGAGAGAGAGAGAGATGAAATATTAGTTTTAGGTGGAGGGTGATTGGAAAGTGGGTAATATTTCAGGCTCAAAGTGGTTGGCATTCACCTGCTTTGGCTTTCTTAATTCTATACTCAATAATACAACAAAGAAGTAGCAGCTCAGCTGAGATCACCTTACATTTAATCACCACAAATAATCATAGTTTGGCCAAAATTAATTAATAACAATTATTGACTAACTAATAACTTGTAATCTTGTCGACTCTCTCACTCCATATGTAAGCTCAACGAGAGAAGAACAAGAGTATGAAGAATAGGAGTTGCGAAGATGGAATCTAAAGAGTAGGAGTTGGGAGGAGGGAGTGGGGGTGGGAACCGAAGCCATAGGCATAGAAAGAAGAGGTATAACCGACGCCAAAGAAAGGAATAGAACCCACAGACACCGGTTATGAACCCAGGTAAGTCGATGTATTCCTACTGTTCCACGACCTCTAATGACATTGGGACAGAGCAACGACGTTTTAGATCCAACTCTAGTGTAAGTTTTATAAATAAAGTCCAGAAAATACAATGTGAGAAATGCATGCATCGACACAAAAACAGAAAATTTGATTGTCTCTCTGTCTGTAAAGCTCACACGGTAAATGCTATTAAACATTATTTCCCCGCTGTTGACCCCCGGACACCCTTTCCTTCCTCACCAAAACATGAAGAAGAAAACAAGGAAGGAGTTCACAATACATAAACTTCGATAATCTTCACTAACAAAATACCATTCATCCCTCCTAAAAACAAAAAATTTCCAAACGCATAAAGTTTCATTACAAAAGTTGACGATATAAATTCGTACCTGAGAGTCTGAGACTGCAGAGACACAGAGCACATTGCAAATGGCCAAATCAAAATGAGGCAGACTTCATGTGTGAAAGAGTTGTGGCTAAGAACCTTCACCCTTGCTCTTATACCTTTCTGACAACTTCAATAAAACTACCATGTGCGTTTTCTGGTGCTTTTCAAAGAACCTCAACAATGTTGTTAGCCAGCACATCAGAATCAGTAAGAAAATAATGGCACATCAGGTAAAGCCTTTGATATTTTCAATTCTTGAGGGTTTCTGTGGTGGGAAACACTCCAAAGAACCTTTCCCCCATTATATCACCATACTACTAATCCAAAATCCAATAGCTTTTAGTTGAGTAAGCATCAATGCATAACATAGTTCTACCATAAAAATATATCTGTTCGGTAACTGCATCTTATCAAACATCTAAATCAGAATCCGTCAATTCAGCCTCTGTAAATACGCAAGGTATTAACCTTCAATAAATCATATTTAAAAGATATAGTAGCACACTACCATACATTCCAACATGCAAGATCATGCATGACACTAAACATCTAATGTATTCATTTTTTTAATTTATCTTGAGAAATATTAAAATTCGTGTGGAAACAATACATTCAAAATTGCCTGAACAGCAGCTGACACAATGTACGAAGGAAAATAACAAGTGACTCGTGATGGAACAAAAAATGAAAAGCATAGGTGAGACGAAGAAAGCACCCTTTATATGATGGAGCATGCCGAGCTTAAGTGCTAGCTTTGACTAGGCTGTTACCGCATACTGATCCACTTTCTCTTGTTTGCTGAATGTTGATGGCAGAGTACAGATGATACAAAATGAATTCACCAGCTTGAACTAAAACAAATATCTCTATGCTCAAAAGTCGACAGGAGAATAGGTGCTTCGATGACCATGAGAAGAGCCCCTAAATTTGTGCACTAAGGATGCAAACAAACTCTGGAAAGACAAAAGGTGGTAGTTATTAACAATATATTGAGATCTTAAGAAGAAGAAGAAAAAGCAATCTAATTGAAAATTGTTTATATCTGTGCCATGTCACTAGAAGTATGGAGGAAAGAGACAGATCAGTAAACCGAAGCAGAATACCTGTGTACTTTGAGGTAAGCTGGTCCAAAAGTCCAAGTTTGGTATAATCTGTAAAGAGGAGAAGCACCAAATCATAGTTAAATTCCCATAATGTAAACACCGAAGGAACACTTTGGAACCTTGCCCAGATTCCAGAATACTAGTAACAATTAAGATATTTTCCGCCATTGCAATGAGATCTAACATGTCACATTTTGAAATGGTATGCTGCCACAAAAAAAAATAATAATATATAAATAAAGAATAGTTTTGACCCCAACATGGCATATGGATTTATAGTAATAATGGTAAAAGAAACGTGCGGATTCCCTATTTCATGACTCTTACAAATTTGAATTCCCTTTTGCCCTAATGATCATGCATTTTGGTTCTCTCTCCCCTTCAACATTCCTTCAATGGACCATCCACTGTTTGATTTCTATCACCAAGTTTCCTATGCCTAATTCATGACCACCATTTTACCTGACTCTTGACATGTATTAGAATTTCCTCTATAAATTTAAGAAAACTTGAATTCCATTTCAAATTGATACACAGCAAATAGATGAAGCTATGCATAAAAAAATTTCAGGACACATGAATGGACAAACTCAAGCATAACTAAATGGTTTGTATGCAAGAAGCTGATTTTTTTTTTTTTGAACAAAAATTTGCTGATCTAATTGAGGAACATACGTGTATTCCACGTACTCCAAGTTTGATATATCGATAACCTGCCCCAACCAGCAGATAAGCTCCAAACAGGCATAAGATTCTGAAATCCAGATCAGTTATCAATCAATTAAGATGACTCAGAAAAACTTCAACAGTAGACATAGAAACTCCCATCGGTAATAACGTTCAGGAAAAAATTTAACTCTTACATGATTCCTAACGTACCAAGCCAGCCCCACCCTCTCCCATGCACGTGTTCAATCTTGGCACAGCCAGAAGGATGTGTCAATACTGTAGCCTGTCATAGGATGAAAAGATTATGAACCTCATATTTTATACATTGTTCATACACTCGCTGAAAATCCATTTCAATGTCACAAGATGAACTGTCAACAGAGAGCAACTGCCATGCATTTCAAAGCTTCATGCAGCCCTATTTTGAAATCTATGATTTCATACATTAGCAACGACAAACATAGCTATTTTATCTGTATTTCTCAATAGTCAATACCACCACCCCTTCCTCCACCTGAACCATATACACAAAAATAAGGCCTAAAAGATAAAGCGCCACCAGCTGAGGGAAAAAAAAAAAAAAAAGATTGGAAACATCTTCAGGCAACACAGAAGCACACTAATGATAAGCAGGAAAATGAAACAGGTTGAGCACATCTTTAGTTCCACACAAGTCTACCATTCAAATCAGATTAGTTTAATTAATAAATATGGCTGGAGATCAACTGAGAGAAGATTCAAGTTAAAGGAACTTATTAAATCAGGCAAGAAGCTTAGCATACAAAAGCTGAAGACAGAGGGCCAAAGGTCTATACTCCATAGTGTACACTGTACAGTTCACAGAATATGGACAAAATATCGCTACTCCCATGGACAGCTTTATCAAAGTATAATCACATATTATATAAGATTAAGCACTAAGCAAGGAGGAATGAAAGATATTCTGAAACTGAAAGAACTCACATAGTCGCATTTCCCAGTTTTCTCAAGTGAATGCGGCCCCTGTAAAATAGAAAGATAAGAAACTGGATCATCAAGCATGCAGAATTCTAGATCATTTCAAATTATGCAAATAATTTTGTATAAGGTCTTGCCTGAACTCTGTTGGGATCACAAATCACAGACACAGAGAGCGAACAGTTGAACTTTAGGCCACTACTTGACATCTTAACAATGACACCAGTGTTAGGATTCTTCCTGTCTGCCATAACAAGTCATAAATTTCCAAAATTTTATGCGCAAACCAAAGCAATCTGGTCAGAAAGCATGCATGTCCATACATATTTGCGCAATGCCATATTCGAGCTATAGTAATGAAAACCTTGAAAGTATCATACAATTTTATATCTGGGGGAGATTCAAAAAAGAAGGAAAAGAAATCTCACCAATTATGTTCATGTCAATGCTTGAGGCACGCCCAATGGTAGTGCACACATCGTAACCTGCAGTTACCGCTTGGTTCATTTTAGAAGATTAAATAGAGTCTTCCAAAATAGAAAAATTTTCAATCCAAATTAGATGAGAAAGCCCTCACAGTCTCCTGCTTTGTTTGAAATTAAAATGAGGGCATCACAGGCTCCCAATTTCTAATGTATCAAAGCACATTATACAAGAAAATCAAGAGAATTTTGTTTGAAACCATAGAGCATCCGTCATTAAAAAGTTTAGCTGTCAATTTTTTTACACTATTTGTGAATAGCTACTGTGTATCACAATACAACCTGCAAGAGCATTCATCTGATCATGATCCTTAAAGCTTTATTTGCTCCAGAACATGTCCAAATTAAAGATCTACTTCTGCAGAGCTAGTCAACAGAAGGAACTTATTTCTGAAAGAAATTAATTTGTTTATTCCCAAACATGATTGAGTCACTGACCACCACTCTCATACCTAAGCAATTGAATGTGAATTCCTTTTCTCGACTTTACCAACAAGCAATAGATACAGTAAAGTACATGGAGGGCTATGTCATTAATCATCTGAAAAAGCAAAGCATATGTACCTCCTATGTTGTTTGCCACAAGCGCACTACAACCCATGCCACAGCGCGATGCACCCCCACAATCCTGCAATGTTCAATATGATAGTCAAATAAATAAGGTATTCTACAAAAATTTGGGTAGGAAGTATATATTACTATCTTTATCTTTCTTATCCAATTTTGAACAAAAGGCTACTCTGCCCATTACACCCTGGATCAAGAGCCTGGAATTATATGTGAACAGTAATACGCGGGTCAATTGTTAAAAAGAATTATCAGTAATTGAATCCAAAATAAAGGTTATCAGTGCAAGCATCAGGTTCATGAAAATTATAAGGAAGCAAATGAAAATTAGGACCTTTGAAAGCTGTTGCAATATTCTATTAACTTCCGCAGCATTATGCTAGTTTTAGATTCTAAATTTAGAAATAACTCTCAAGTTGTGTTAGCTAGCAGTGTAAGTACCAGCTTTAGCTGTCAATTTCCAAAATTGCCATCTCTCTCTAACCCTCTCTTTTATCTTCGAAGGCAGAGATAGAGAAAATGAGAGCAAACCCCGGAACAGCTCCCTTACGGATCAAAATATAGGGAGGAACTAAGTACCAAGTAAATAAGTGCGAATCATTTCAAAATTGCAACAGTCTCAGTGCCTTCTATATCATCAACATAAAGAAAGTAATAGCAATAGAGCTGACAAATTTACCCGGCAATCAACACATCTAGGTGGGTCGTGATTGAAAATCATTCCATTGCAAAGCTGCTCCAGACGGTCAAGGAAAATAAACTCAATAATGAACCTAGCGACATTAATAAGGCTTATGCTTGTAAAAGTTAACATGATATCTGTTAAAGAAAATAACAAACAACTGCATTGTGATATTATCATGATCATCGTCGTACAAAATATCAGTTAAAAAACAAAGGTGTGACCTGATGGAGCGAACCTGAAACCAGAGCACAGTCTCATTTGCTGCCACTTTGTAGAACCTGTAGTAACGAATTTAACAGCAAGGAAAACTGAATTTTGCTTGACCAAATTGATGATTAACTAATTACATCACGAATGCCGCCATACATAAGAGTATCGGCTAGAATACAACCTCTGTCCAAAGCTCAAGAGTGCGAAAAATCTCTGCAACCCCTTAAACCGTAATGTACCATATAACTATTGCAGTTTAAGATGCTTCCAAATATCAAACTAGGCAAAATCAGAATGGCTCAACCAAATTTCTTTTGAACAAAAGGGCATTAAGCCGCCTTAATGAAAACCAGTTTCGGAAATGCTTAATAGGAGAGAAGCACATTATTTTGCAGAATTCCAAGAACCTCGTGCATCTAACATAGAAATCACAAATTTCATAACAACATCCATAGCAATCAAACAGTTGCAAGGCATGCACAGAAAAACCCACCAGAAAAATACAAGTTTCCATTGACAATTCGTGAAAATAAGAAAACCCCATATCAAGTAGAGGGGGGAGAGAGAGAGAGAGAGAGAGAGAGAGAGAGAGAGAGTACCCATCTTCGCTTTGGACGCCATGAGGGAAGAAAGGGATGGGAGAGTCCAGAGTGTAGTTGTAGAGCTGGTTATCGTCGACGAAACTGAAATGGCAGCTACCGGAGACCGAGTTAACTCGGTCCAGAATCGTTAAGAAGACTGCAACCCATTTCAGAAAACCGAGTCGGACTTCCATTGTTGGCGACGGAGTTCACACCAATTCGGTTAAAATCCCATCAACTCGTTCTGAAAACACACGGCATTGCGTTTAACCAAACGACACGGTACGCACGGGTCGCTGGGTCCGTTTTGGAATATGCATAGCAAGTCCACCCTTAAAAAATGCGGTGAACAGTGATAGATCACATGAATAGTAAATTGATCAAATGCTTCTTCATCTCTAAAAAGTATATTGGCATAAATTTTAAAAAATGCGCTGGCATAAACAATTTTCATACCTACAAAATACATTGGCACCTAGTCCATTTAAAATATTATTAATTTTTTTTATAAAATAAAAAAAATAATTTTAACTTCGGATAAGATTTTTAACCAATCTTGTCACGCCACATGTCATTATCTGAAAGTACTATTTTGGTTGAAAGTGTTGAAAATATTGAAATGTGGTGTAAGGTGGAATATGATGGTTAGGTATTTATAGAAGAAAAAAAATTATTTTTATGAATTTTTAAACAATTTTTTATTAAGATAATTAATCTAGACCGTTGAATTTGAAAAAAGAATTCAAATCCAACAGCCCATATTGCACCACATGGCTAGGCTTTGGATTTGAATTTCAATTTTTTTTTTATCGTTGGAAATTCAACGGTCCAGAACTAGCCACATGGCATCTGGACCCTCGCCCCTGTTGCACTTGCACATGCAAGCCTCACCCGTTTTTTCTTGTTGGAACACGCGGCCACTCCCGCATGTTTCCACGCGCCTGGAGCAAAAAAATTTAAAATGGCCAGTGATGTCACGCTGGCGTCAGCATAATGTCACATAGGATGTTACGCTGACGTCAGCATAATGTCACCATAGGCCAGGCCTTGGCTCAACATATTCTGGCCCCACCTATGAGATGGCTTGGGTTGGGTGCTAGCCTATTAGGTTGGGCTGGAGCACTTTTTGTAGGTGCTAGGCCATTTTGGGGGCTGTGAGCCGGCCTACCCCTTTAGGGTGGACTTGCTCTTAAAGCTAGTTTGGAATTGTTTTATATATATATATATATAAGAACTACTTTTTCAGTCTTTAAAAATAATTATAAGTAAAATAAAGTACTTGAAATAAATTGTATTTTTAAAAACATTATGGTATAAAATGTAGTGTAAAAGTGTTTGTAAATTATGATGTAAATATGATATAATTGTATATATTGACCAAAGCCTGGGCCGAACCAACTAAACCGCGAGTGACAAATTGGATCGCCCGGTTAGGCATCTTTTATTCGCAACCCCAAACGACAGGTCGTCTAACAGAAAACAGGACAAACTTTATACTGCCGCTGCGGAAGCTGGATAGCCCACCCGTGCGAACCGCGAAGAAAAACAGAAAGCCATGGACGCCGACTCTTTCAACCCCAGCAGCGCCTTGAGCGACACCCGCTTCTCCGACCTCAAGCCGCCGCTCTCCGAACCGGTTCTCGAAGCCCTATCCCAAGGCGGGTTCGAGTTCTGCACTCCCGTTCAAGCCGCCACAATCCCCTTACTATGCAGCTTCAAGGACGTGGCGGTGGACGCCGCCACTGGTTCAGGCAAAACCCTAGCCTTCGTGGTTCCGATGGTGGAGATACTCCGGCGAGTTTCAACCACTCCAAAACCTCAAGAGGTCTGGTCCACACCACTAATTAATCTTCTTTCTTTTTTTACTTGCTAGACACTGTTTGGTTGCTGAGAAAGTAGAATTTTTACTTGCTAAACACTGTTTGGTTGCCGAGAAAATGGAAGAGAAACAGAAAGAAAAAGAAATTTTTGTGCTTGTGCAGGTGATGGGAATGATTATATCTCCGACTAGGGAGCTGTCTTCGCAGATATACAATGTAGCGAAACCCTTCATTTCGACGCTGCCGAATTTCAAGTGCGTCCTTTTGGTTGGTGGAGGCCAAGTGAAATCAGACATGAAACAAATCGAAGAGGAAGGAGCCAACTTGTTGATCGGCACGCCGGGAAGACTATTCGACATTATGGAACGCATTGATGGCTTGGATTTGCGGAACCTTGAGGTAATGCATTTGTAAATGGAGTTGCATTTGATGGGATTTAATTGAAATTTTATGTTTTGGGATTTGATTGAAATTTGTTTCGTGGAATTCGATTGTATAGGCTGATAGAGGCTCATTTGTCAATAATTGTTGCAGATTTTGATCTTAGATGAGGCCGATAGGCTATTGGATATGGGGTTCCAGAAGCAGTTAAATGACATTATGTCTCGTTTACCGAAGCTTCGTAGAACTGGTCTGTTTTCAGCTACCCAAACTGAGGCAGTTGAAGAGCTGGCCAGAGCAGGACTAAGGAATCCTGTGAGGGTTGAAGTACGAGCTGAAACAAAATCGAGTGATTCGGCGTTAAGGAAAAAATTAGCCTCTTCTAAAACACCTTCTGGCCTTGCCCTTGAGGTATGCTCTATAACATAACATCAACGATTACTAATTTGTCAATAATGTGTAGCTTCTCTATTATTGAATTGTTTTCGCCTTTGACCGTGCACTCTCATACAGTATCTGGAGTGTGAGGCAGACAAAAAACCGTCACAGCTTGTGGATCTTCTTGTTAAGAATAAGTCTAACAAGACCATAGTGTAAGTAACATGAGATTAGTCTGTTTTAGTGAATGTGGTCAAATTAGCTTCGAGGTTGAAGGTTGTTTTGCGTTGTAAAGTGATTTTCATATTCTTCTGTGTTTTCTTCTGTAGATACTTCATGACTTGTGCTTGTGTTGACTACTGGGGACTTGTTCTTCCATTGCTTGGTCCTTTGAAGGGTTTCCCTTTGATTGCTCTACATGGGAAGATGAAGCAGGTAAAACATTATAGATCAGTGATTCAGTATACTCGGTCGATCTTTGAGTTAGTGTTTCATGAACTCACTGTTCTTTGCTTTTTCAACATTTTCTGCTTTCTAGGCCGCAAGGGACAAAGCTTTGGCCTCATTTACATCTCTCTCAAGCGGCGTCCTTCTGTGTACTGATGTTGCTGCACGTGGGCTCGACATTCCAGGCGTTGACTGTATAGTGCAGGTAGCTTACAATAGCGTGTAGATGGTCATCACCAGTTTTGAAAGCTAAATAGTATAATCCATTTGTTTGTTGATATTTCAGTATGATACCCCTCAAGATCCAAATGTGTTCGTGCATAGAGTTGGCCGAACAGCTCGTATGGGTAGACAAGGAAGTGCGATTGTTTTTCTATTGCCAAAGGTTTAGTTATAGAATCTGTTTGACTCGTTTTTCTTTTCTTATTTTCTGTGTTGCTTTCATTTATGGTGTTGAAGGTGCTTATTTTGGTCACACTGTTGCAGGAGGAAGCTTATGTAGAATTCCTACGGATAAGAAGAGTTCCTCTACAAGAAAGGAAATGCTCTGATGATGTTGCTGATGTTGTTCCTCAGGTAGGCATCATTTTATGGTGCACTTTATCAAATCTTATTGTGGAAAAATAATCTTCTTAATTTATTCCTCGTTATACCTGTTGTAAACATATTCAGGCTTCTTTTTACTGAGTGGACATTGATTTAAAATGTGTCCAATGATGCCAGCACTTTATGTAAAACAAATTGACTTCATTGTCTATGTATTTCAATGCTATTGATTAAATCAATTTATCCATCATGCTGCTGTCTTGTAAATATGAGCTTAGTTTTATGGTGTTCTCTCTAGTTGTTTTTATGAGAACTTTTAGTAGTTGAAGTGACGTTGTTTTAAAACTTGTTTCAGATCCGATCAGCCGCAAAAAAGGACCGCGATGTTATGGAAAAGGGGCTCAGAGCATTTGTTTCTTACATGCGTGCATATAAAGAACATCACTGCTCTTACATTTTCAGGTGTCTAACAGGACCTCCTATTAATTCAGGCCAAGAAAAAAAAAAATCTCTAATTTCCGCTTTTAATTAATGCAGGTGGAAGGAACTTGAAGTCGGGAAATTGGGCATGGGATTCGGACTACTGCAGCTCCCTGCAATGCCTGAGGTAAAGCACCACTCGCTTTCCACAGAGGGTTTCATCCCTGTTGAAGACATCAACTTGGAGGAGATCAAATTTAAGTAAGAACTCCCTTCAATTTCTGAATGTTTGGTTGTATAACATCGACGTGTTATGAGTCCATGCTATGGTTGTAGTTGGGTACAAAATTTCATTCCTAGCTGGCTACCGTTGCTAAAGGAAAAAGTTTATCATTTAGGGATAAATCTCGCGAGAAACAAAGAAAGAGGAATCTACAATCGAAGAAAGAAGCAAGACAGCAAGAACCGAAACCTCAAAAAACCAAAAAGATCCCAAATGCTTCAGATGCTGCAATGAGGAAGAAAACGGGTAAGCAGAGGCGTGCTATCCAGTCAGCTGAAGATGAAGATGAGTTGGCAAGAGAATACCGCTTGCTAAAGAAGCTCAAAAAGGGGGCTATCGACGAAAGTGAATTTGCGAAGTTAACAGGAACAGAAGACTTGATTTGAAGGCATAAATATGCAGATATGATTTCGGGCATCCAGACATATGGAAGATTGGAAGTCTAGAGCCCTTCAAGCCGGATTGGGATCATATTTGGATCAAGCAAAGTGGCCAGGGCATCCTCAAGCTTGTTCAAAAGACAAAACTTGAAGATGCAACAAAAATTGTTGGGAGACACTTTTGGAGGTGTAAGTTTGCTCCTGATAGTTTTCGATATGGGGTCCCTTTTACTCGTTTTATTTTATTTACGTTCTTTGTAACCGTGACAAGCTCATACGATAGAGATTTCAGAAACAGATAAGTGTACCAGACGGTGGGAAATCAAAGCTACTTTGATTACAGTTTGGTGTCGAATTACATGGCACATTAACAGTAATGACCACTCGATCCAAATAGTGGTAAACATTTCTATTGATAGTTTGTTAAGACATGTTCGGTACTTTACTTAATTCTAACTTTTTAAACTTAAAAACAATTTTCAAGTTTTATGCCTTAAAAATTTGTTTAGAAAGATTATTTTAAAAAACTGAACACTAACTAAAAAATATATTTTATTCTTTAAAAACATAAAAGTGAGTTTTTAAATTTAAACTTACTTATTTCTTTTTTCTCCATCCTCTCCTTTCACTTCAAATCTATCTCTTTCTTTTTTTCTTTCTATTCTTTCTTTCACTCCTCTTCCTTTCTATCTCGTCCGATCCTCTCTTCTTTCTCTTTCCTTCATTCATCTCTTACTGTCTTTCTTCCTCTCTTCTCGGAACCTCTCTCTCTCTCCTGTGATCTCCTCTTTTTACATCTTTTTATCTAATTTAAATTGTAAAATTTAAAAATTTTAAATAGAAAATCAATTAAAATTTTGAATCTTAAAGAAAATTATTTTCAAAAAATATTTTAAAAAACGATAAAAAATTTCAAGTTTGATACTAAACAAGCTCTTACTTTCTTATGGCTCTCAGTCGAAGAGAGCAAGTCTGTGTTTGGACACCTCATCTTCTAGCCTTGTTCCAAAGTCACTTAATATTTTGCTTGAGAGTTAGGGATCTGTGGCGAATTCGGTTCCAACAGGACTCAAGTCAGTCAGTCTCTCTCTCTCTCTCTCTCTTCCCACCAATTAAAAGCCCAGAACCACTCCAACGCCAGCAACGACCTCAGTCAGTCAGTCTCCCTCTCTCTCTCTTCCCACCAATTAAAAACCCAGAACCACTCCAACGCCAGCAACGACCTCAGTCAGTCAGTCTCCCTCTCTCTCTCTCTTCCCACCAATTAAAAACCCAGAAACACTCCAACGCCAGCAACGACCTCAGTCAGTCGGTCTCCCTCTCTCTCTCTCTTCCCACCAATTAAAAACCCAGAACCACTCCAACGCCAGCAACGACCTCGGTCAGTCAGCCTCCCTCTCTCTCTCTCTCTCTGCACATGCTTCTTTCTTCCCCGTCTTCGCGCCTGTATTAGCCGCCAGACCATATACTCTCTCCTCAGTCTCCTCCGCCTGATCAGCGGCAAAGCCCAAGTCTTCTTCCCCGTCTTCAAAATGTCCCAACCGGCCACCGCCCCGGACCACCAATCCTCCGGCCCGACCCCTCCACCGTTCGACCCTACCCAACCCGCTGTTCCCATCTCCTACCCGATCAAAACCCTGGAAGAGCTCGAGTCCAGGTCCTACTTCAAGTCCTTTCACTACCCTTTTAACAAATCCACGGTTCCTCTGCAATCTGGGTCGCCTTCCCTGTCGCTGCCCGACAGGCCCAGAGTGATTGTCTGCCATGACATGGCGGGCGGCTATGGCGATGATAAGTGGATCCAGGGAGGGACCAATCCGAACGCGTATGCAATATGGCATTGGTATTTGATCGATATATTCATCTACTTTTCGCATAGTCTTGTCACTCTTCCGCCTCCATGTTGGACTAATACTGCTCACAGGCATGGAGTTAAGGTAATTCGCAACTTCGGAATTTTGGGATTTTTAGGGAAACATGTTTTGGAATTTGGCATTTGTGTGTTCACGTGATTAATGCGGAAATGAGTTTACTTTTTGTTTGTTTAAGACGGAAAGGGATCGGTTTCGTATTATTTATATTTAATTTTAAATTTTAAATTTTAAAATAATTTTTAATTACACGATGTACGATGAATAGTCACAATCACACAATTTCTAGTATCTTCAGAAAAAAGATTCTTTTCCGTTTAAGATAGGGAGTGAGAATTTCAAGAGTATGTATCAAATATAGCACAAAATTAAAGAAGTTTTAACAAAATACTTTCGGTATTGTTCATTCTTAACGAAAAATTACATTTTTACCATTTTCTGGTATTATTTATTACGCCTTCCTTTGTCATTTTTTATTAAAATTAAAAAAAATTTAGACTTTTCGATAGTATTCTTAAAAATATTAATCCTTAATTTAAAAATATCAATTTTTATAAAAAATTTCAAAAAATATTCAAAATTTCACTTAAATAGACACAAGTATCCTTTAATTTAACAATAAAATGAAGCCTTTTTACCCAAAATGATTCGTGACATTAACATAACTCCTTAATCTCGTCCTTAATGATTAATGATAATCAATAGTAGTGTTCTTGAATTTGTCTATCGTGAATCATTTTAGTTTTTCTTTGAACTTGTCTATCGTGATCATTTTAGTTTTTTTCGTGAAAAATCTGTTAATTGCTCTGTTAGTGTGATAATATGACACCATGTATATCTCACAAATATAATCATACAACGACATGTGAATTAACTTAAAAAACTATTTTTATATTTAAAACTAAAAATGATATTAGTAAAAAAAAAGATGTAGAAGGCATGATTGAAATTATGCTGCTCTCACTTGTGGTAACCGTGGTGATGCTCAATGTCGGTGATGAAGGGGTCGAAGGGGATAGGGTTGTGGTGGTGGAGTGTAGAAATGAAGGTGAAGTTGGACCACAACTTGAGGCGATAGTAGCTAAAAAGCCTTTAATTTATTTAATTATTAAATTTGAAGGTATTTGTATCTATTTAAGTGAAATTTTGGATATATTTGAAAGTTTTTATAAAAAGTGACTCGAATTTCAGTTTGGAAACAGTGTTGTCCTTTCTTTGTTTTTTTTTTTTTTTTTTTTTTTTTTTTTTTTTTTTTTCTGGGAACTCTTTGATTTGCTTATGTTTTGGTTGTGGATTATGACTTGTTTTTCTTTCGAGCCGTTCTTAGTTCCAAATGATTGAAAGGAATTTCGGAATCTAACTTCGTTGGTTCTGTATATTGGAATGCAAGGTGTTGGGGACTTTCATCACAGAAGGGGATGAAGGGAAGCTTATTTGCAACAAATTGTTGTCGACAAAAGAGTCTGCTGAAATGTATGCTGAGTTCTTGGCGGAGCTTGCCGTTGCGTTGGGCTTCGATGGATGGCTGGTAGTAAATAGTTCACCCTAACTGCATGCTTTTTTCAAGTTTCTGTATTTTTTTAGGATGATTTTGGTTTCGGTCTCTATTCAACCTAATTGTTAGACTGAAATTTTGTTTGTTTAAATATTTTGATCGAGGTCCTTAGCCTCATTTAAGAGATTTAACTCATGCATTTATATATTTAATTTCCCACAAATCATGAAATTTAAACAAATTCAAATAATATTTTTTAAATTATAAATAAATACTTAAAAAACAATTATAGAGTAATATTGATCTTCACAAAAATTATAGCAAAAAAATAATACCCACGTAATTATTAACATATTTTAAAAATAACTATTGATATATTTTAAAACATGAATAAATAGATATAATTAGCCTGGATATGTTTAGCAAAATTAAAAATGGGTAAAAATAAATTAAAAAATATGGGTACAAATACAAATAAAAGTTTAAAAAATATGGGCACAAAAAGGAATTAATATATGGGTACAAATTAAATTTGAAAAGAAAATTGGTACAAATTAAAAACAGGGTTGCAAATTAAAAATGGGTACAAACTTAAAAATAAAAATATATGATCAAAAATGGTACAAGCTAAAAATAAAAATATATGATAAAAAATTTAGCCATAAATATAAATATAACAAATGTAACGTTTCTAACACTTAATGAATATATTTAGAAGTAAAAAATATTTTATATTGAAATAATTAATGACGTTTATTAAAACTAAGGACTTTGATGAAAAATTGAAGGGGAATAAGGTTTTAATCAATGGAGTAGAAAAAATAGGGATGGGAACCCTTTTTTTTTTTTTTTTTTTTTTTATATAGGTTTTAGATTTTAGCTCTGTTGATCAGCCAATTATGATCTGCTCTGGTAACACACTTGCATGCAAACGGAGGAACGTGTTGTATTTCTTGAAAGATGAATGCTTCAGTTCCGCTGGTTCAAGAAGTTAAATAGCAAGCTACCATAGTATTCATATTTGAAGTTTTTAAGTTTCCAACCGTTCAAGGAAAAAGGAATGGCTTGAGAAATAGGGAAGTTTCAATTAGAAACCGATGCTTTCTTCCGTTATTTTGTTTGGTGCAAATTCATTCTATTGCACTCTTTTTATTTAGTTGTGATCATGATAACTGCCACTTGCAGATCAATATGGAGGTTAAGTTGAATTCGGACCAAGTCCCTAATTTGAAAGCATTTGTCAGCCATTTAACCCAGACAACGCATTCCTCTGTGCCTGGCTCTTTAGTGATATGGTGAGTGTTTAGGAGATACGAATGATGTTTCCCGTCACTTATATTTTTGCCTCCTTTTGTTATAGCGTCCCATTTAAAGTTCATATTTGACTTACTGTTGTCTATTCGGCAGGTATGATAGTGTTACAGCTGATGGTGAACTGTACTATCAAAATCAACTGAATGAAAAGAACAAACCTTTCTTTGATATATGTGATGGAATTTTCGTGAACTATATATGGGAGGTATGGTTTTCACTTCTTCCGTATGGGAGTTTGTTTTCGTTCTCTAAATACTCTTTCACATAGTTAAACCTATGTACCATGCAGGAAAACTATCCGAGGCTTTCAGCAGCTGTTGCTGGTAACAGGAAGTATGATGTCTACATGGGAATTGATGTGTTTGGAAGGGGCACTTTCGGTGGCGGACAATGGAATGTAAGTGATGAGACACTAATGACATGTGAGATATGAGAACCTTTCCAGGATTTGATTATATTTCACTGTAACGAATGAGTAATTTAAGTGTGTCAACTCTTATGGTTAATGTTTTTACAGCTCCATGTAATGGAGAATTTCAGGTGGTTTTTCTGGGAGCCTTGCTTTTTTGTAGTTAACTTTGTTTTTTTCTAATAACTCTGCATATCAGACAAGTGTTGCACTAGATGTGCTGAAAAAGGATGATGTATCAACGGCCATATTTGCTCCTGGATGGATCTATGAGACTAAGCAACCACCAAATTTTCAGATTGCTCAGAATCAGTAATTGACTTGCCCCCAGTTGCGAAATTTCACAAACTTGTAGTTCCGTTGATTAGTATACGAACTTGTCCTTAATAGTTCTTTAGTTATTATTTCAGATTTCTAGTACCAGTTACATAAGTTCATAGACATTACTCTACAGACAAAAACAGGCATGATATTTTCGCTTCTTTAACAAAAGCTAGCATGATGATACTGTAGTCTTCGTATATTAACCAAGTGTCCTTGAAATATCTTTACAATTTTATATTTTTACCTCTAAAGCTACTTGATTCTCTTGAATGCCAGCATCGTAGCTGCCTTCCCTGGTTAGTTGGAATAAGAACCTTATGTAATCAACCCCAGTCAGATCGGAATTTGACATGGTTGAGTTCTTCATGGTATGAATATTACATTTACTGAAGTTTCTCATAATAAATTCAATTGTTTTGCAGTTGGTGGTCCCTTGTGGAAAAATCATGGGGAGTGGTACAAAATTATCCTAAAGTGTTACCATTCTATACAAACTTTGATCAGGTTGGTGTGACTATGTTGATACTGCAGTGGGCCATTTATGGATGTTGAAAGCATGACCTAGTTCATAAACTCCATAGATCCTGTATATACCTGTTAACTAACGCTATTTTCTGTATTGTTGTTCAGGGTTATGGATATCATGTTTCTGTCGACGGAGAGCAAGTATCAGATGCGTCTTGGTGTAACATTTCTTCCCAAGGGTTGCAGGTATGGACCAAATAGCCTTGTGGTATCAGACGCTTCCTAGTCAAATGACATACCCTTAGATGTTATATCTAGAAATACTACACTTTTCCTTGAAATACTATCAAATTTGCGGTTTGAACTTTTTCAATTTATTTTAGAGTTTCAAAGCCTATTTCTAAGTTCAAAATCTAGAATTTTTTTTCTGTTGGTTAATATCTTAAGGTGACAAATTCGAACAAGCATTTTCATTTATAGTTCGCCATGACAATAAAATCTAACCATAATCATCGGATTTTATTATCCTAAGTAGCTGTTCGAAGGGAGTTCTTTCTTCTTAGTGGATGGAAATATTTGAATTACTTCCTTGTTTTAGTTGTTGACGACAAAATAACTTGGAATAAAAAGAAAAAGAAAAACAACGTCTTTGAGCTTGAGTGTTGGTGATATGGAGTGTTATAATAACAAATTCGACTGTTCAATCTCATGCATGAAATTACTGTTTTATTTTTTTGACAAACAATAGCATTAGTGGGTTAAATTGTTAAATATTAGGAGGGAGGGGGATTGGTGGGGTTCGAACCTGCTTTCCGCCACTACGGTAAAGCATCATCTGTGCAACATTACCGGTTTTAAATTATTAGTGGGAAATTTACAGTAGTATGCCTCCAGGTGCAGTGCATTGTTGTCAAATCTTTGACATGGTCAAGCATGCTAATTTATTCCTATTGACATGTCACAGCCGTTCCTAGAGTTCAGTGGCAATGCAACCCCAGATGGCATCCAGGTCCATGTTGAGTAAGTTTTAGTTCCAAAACCCTACACTCTAAACATTTGACACCTTATGCATAAACACTATTTTATACCGGATTTCAGAGTTTCGGCGTGTACGCTTTGCAAAAACTTAAGAACATTTTTCGGATATATTGGATGGACGAGCCATTATTACTATAAGATCTGATTTTCTTCTTCATTCAAACGTATGTTGGCAAATTATAGTTTCAAGGAAGCATCTTATAGTGGAGGAGGAAACATCACATTTAAAGGAAACCTTGAAGACTCTGATAATTTATCGACAAGGCTCTTTCTAGGAGATCTTCTTTTGGGGGATTCACCTCTCCATTTTACGTATTCTGTAAGCAATCTCTTCCGTGCATTGACGTTACCAAAGTTGTCCAAATCGTTGTTAGACAACCTGTACATGCTGACCAGAATCTCTTATTATTATTATTATTATTATTATTTTATTTATTTACTATTGTGCACTCGCAGACAAGTTTTGAACTGTGAATATTCCAATTAATGCAGGTGATATCGGAGAATAATTCTCAACTAGGCTTGCATCTTATATTCTCCTCTACCCCGAACGAAAGAAAGTCGGTACTTCTTGTAAACTGGAACCTGAACCAATTCTCAAGCAAATTTGATAAAGTGATAATGACACGTCAACTTGAAACACCAGGAATTTCCCCTGGATGGGTCATGCAGGAGAGTAGCATCCGAATGAGTGGATACAGACTAACAGAAATACATGCTCTGTGCTATAGGTCGAAGCCTGAATTCAACGAAAGGATACTGAAGTCCATAGCAGAGGAGGGTACTCAGAATTCAACAGAGTACTATGCAGTGCTTGGTCATATTTCAATTAAGACTGGTGGGCAGACTTCAGATTTTCCGCCTTCTGATTCGTGGCTTGTCGAAGGTGAATATATCAAATGGACAACAGGATCTGAGGGTTCCAAGACCGTTAGTCTTAAAATCACTTGGAAATTGAAAGACGGGAACGATTATCCAGCCACAAATTACAATATTTATGTTGAAAAACTAGCAAAAGGAGCACTTGGCCATCCAGGAGCAGCGCTAGAAAGGGTGCATGAGTATATTGGAGCGGCACGAGTGGAAGCTTTTTACGTCGATGACCTCGCAGTCCCTTCTGGCACTTCTGACATCAAGTTTATCGTTCAAGTGTGTGGTACCGACGGGAGTAACCAGAAACTAGACGACTCGCCTGTGTTTCTACTTGAGGCTGCAGCTTTGGCTAACGAGTTGTAAGTTTGAATTAGTGATCGTGTGAGCTAGGGTGAATAATTTTGTCAGCGTGATAACACGATGATGCTGCCATTTGCTAGCTTTAATCAAATATGGTAATTAAAGTGCTGTGTTGTTGATTAGATTAAGATTTGCACTAATTAATAATTAGATTAAGATTTGCACTAATTAATACTCATTACTGAATCATTAGATCTTTTTGTAATTTTGCACTAATTAATACTCATTACTGAATCATTAGATCTTTGTGTAAGTACAAGCAAACACATTTTTCAGATGGAGACGGAGGAATTGGCAGTCGAGTTATGTTACGAGGAAAAAAAAAAAGTGATGTCGATTCGGTTTCCGACACTTGGAAAACATACAAACTTAAAGCAATTCTAAACCCTAAACCCTAAATCCGATATACTTACTTTGTTTCCCCTATTCAGCTTCCTCAATCTTCACATCCGTAAACCCTAGTTCCAACCACAGACATAAACCTAGAAAGTAACAACCACCTACTTGGCTATAGGGTTACCTGCATTTCTTGTCAAACTGTCCTCCAGTAGTATCAATCTGAGTCTGAATATAAAAAATACTTAAAAGAAAATAACTTAAACTTTTTAAAGAGAAGTTGGGGGTAAGGAACATGTAAATATTTGTGCATCCGGCAAATTAAAATACATAACAACACAGTGATAAATTTAAAATACATCTCAGTGTTTTAGTTGCATATTTTCGTGTATACAATTAATGCCATGCAGAACGATCTCGAAAGCAAGTCTTGAAAACATCTGATGCCTTTAACAATGATTGAAATTTTCTTTATAGTGATGGGTTTGCACAAAAGTGGAAAACATCTGATGCCTTTATAATGATTGAAATTTTCTTTATAGGGCGATTATTATCTGGTTCTTGATAAATTGTAATTGTTGAAATGCATTTTTACCTGTAAATAAATTGTTTGGGCAATTGATATTAAAATTTTGTTTAAAAAAATAATATTATGTTTAGTTTCGAATAAGATTTTTAGCTAATCCGTCATACCACGTTTTATTATCCAAAATTACAATCCATTCTCGGTCACACCACCGTTCATATTCTCTTATTTTTATTTTTTATTTTTTGTATTTGTTTATAATTTTTAAATTTTTTTAATAACAAAATTAAATACACATCACATGAAAGCAGCATGAGATCAAACAAGAACTAAATACAAAAAATCCCGGACTTGTGTAAGAGGTGTCAAACAGATGAAGTTGTAGTCAGCCAGACCTGGTAGGCCGTAACCAAGGTTTTCCTCTTGTATTGTTGACATTGACAAACAAAAAAGTCTTGGCATAATGCCGCGAACCTAGCTCAACTTGGTGTACCAGTGTGACTGTCATACAGATGGTACATTATGTGTTATTAAATATGTGTATCAAAAAGTTAATAATTTAAAATGAGAACTGTTATTAGCATTCCAAAAATCTTATTCTACAATATTCACAAGTGTATTTTTCCTTATAATTATAGAAAATTTAGAATACCAAATGAAATTTTTAAAATGCTAATATCAATTTCCTTTAAAAAATATAATTTCTCACTACTTACGTAAAAACGTATAAACCACATGATTTCCGTCACAATTAAAAAAATTTCCACTTCAAGTCCGTCTTTTGTTGTTTTCAAACATTCCCAATTTCCCACCAATTAAAAAGCACCACTGCAACGTCAGCAACGACCTCAGTCAGTCAGTCTCTCTCTCACTCTAAGCACATGCTTCTTCCCCGTCTTCGCTCCTATATTAGCTGCCAGACCATACTCTCTCTCCTCAGTCTCCTCCGCCTGATCCGCGGCAAAGCCCAAGTCTTCTTCCCCTTCTTCAAAATGTCCCAACCCGCCACCGTCCCGGACCACCAATCCTCCGGCCCGACTCCTCCACCGTTCGACCCGACCCAACCCGCCGTTCCCATCTCCTACCCGATCAAAACTCTCGAAGACCTCGAGTCCAGGTCCTACTTCGAGTCCTTTCACTACCCTTTTAACAAATCCACGGTTCCTCTGCAATCCGCGTCGCCTTCCCTGTCGCTGCCCGACAGGCCCAGAGTGATTGTCTGCCATGACATGGCGGGCGGCTATGGCGATGATAAGTGGATCCAGGGAGGGACCAATCCGAACGCGTATGCGATATGGCATTGGTATTTGATCGATGTATTCATCTACTTTTCGCATAGTCTTGTCACTCTTCCGCCTCCGTGTTGGACTAATACTGCTCACATGAAAGACAATAGAATATAGTTTGTAATCTCAACTCAATAATCGAGTGAGCGTCGTGCATTAATATTTATAGGATTACAAGTCATACATATGTAGAACTAGGATTACAAGTAGTTGAATCAGGATAAAACATGATCTGCAGCAAGCGGTGAGGATTCCGTGTTGGACTGGGATTTCGTGTTAGACTGGAATTCTATTTGTGCAACAGACGTAGACTGAGTTGGAGTCGGTTTATCACTCCCCCGCAAACGTACAGGGAGGTCACGAACTGGAAGTTTGGACAGCAAGGAGGCAAAACGAACTGCAAACAATCCCTTGGTAAGAAGATCAGCCAGCTGATCCGTGGAGGAGACATAGCAAACGATGAGCTCTTTACGAGTGACCTTTTCCCGAACATAGTGATAGTCAACCTCGACATGCCGCATGCGCTGGTGGTAAACCGGATTGGAAGCTACGGAAATGGCACTAATGTTGTCGCACCAGAGGCGGGGCAGAGCAAGAGGAAGATGAAGCTCTCGAAACAAAGTGCGATACCAAGAGAGAGCAGCGGCTGTGTAGGCAAGCTGTCGATATTCAGCTTCTGTACTGGAGCAGGAGACACCACGTTGCTTCTTGGAGCTCCACGAGATGAGGTTATCACCAAGGAATATACAGTAACCACCAGTGGAACGGCGATCGTCCAGATCACCAGCATAGTCCGCATCAGCATAGATAGTGAGCTGAAGGGAACTCGAGTGATAAACAATCCCATGTTTGGGAGTAGCTTTAAGATAACGGAGTATTCGTTTAACCGCAACCCAATGTGTCGTTGTGGGCTTATGCATAAACTGACAAACCTGGTTAACGGCAAAGGCAATATCAGGACGAGTGAAGAGAAGATACTGCAAGGCACCCACAATGCTACGAAACTTGGTGATATCAGACAATGGTTCGCCATCAGAGAGACTGAGGCGTCGGCCACTAATGGCTGGGGTCGAAATGGGCTTGCATTCCAGCATGTTGGTGCGTTGGAGAAGATCAGTGATATACTTTGTCTGTGTAAGATGAAGGCCCGTGCTAGTACGATGAACCTCCATACCTAAGAAATAATGAAGTGGTCCAAGATCCTTCATTGAGAATAATGTGCCCAACTGATGAATCAAACGAGTGATATGGTCCATGCTATTACCAGTAATAAGAATGTCATCCACATAAATTAACAAGTAAATAACCACGGAACCATCAAAGAAAGTAAACAATGATGAATCTGCATGAGAAGATACAAAACCCAAATTGTCCAAGTGATTGGAAAAACATTGAAACCATGCACGAGGAGCTTGTTTAAGACCGTATAAAGAACGTTGCAATTTGCACACATGAGATGGACGTTGAGGATCAATGAATCCCGGTGGTTGCCGCATATAGACCTCTTCATTCAAAGAACCATGAAGGAACGCATTTTGGACATCAAGTTGTTGAAGAGGCCAATTGAAATGAATAGCAATGGAGAGAATTAAGCGAATAGTCGCGTGATTGACAACAGGACTAAATGTCTCACCATAGTCTAAACCCTCTTGTTGATGAAACCCGTTAGCCACTAACCGTGCCTTGTAACGCTCAATTGAGCCATCAGAGCGTCGCTTGATTTTATATACCCACTTATTAGGAAGAATATTCATAGTGGGTTGAAACGGAACCAAAGTCCAAGTGCCATTATGTTGTAAAGCATTGAATTCGTCAACCATCGCCTTTCGCCATTCGGAATCCTTATTAGCCTGACTAAAACATGTAGGCTCAACCAAGGCATTAGTAACAGTAGCAACATAAGTATATTTGGGATTAGGTTTGCAAATACCACTTTTGCCGCGAGTGACCATAGAATGGGACACTGCACTTACCTCGGGAGTAGATGAAACCAATGGTGCGGGTGTGACTGGTGGCAGGTTTGATGTAGGGACTGGTTCAGGAGAAGAACTGGAGGGCATGGTAGGGATTGATGCAGGTAGGACATGAGGCTGAGAAGGTTTGGGGCGTGGGGATCGGCGAGTGTATACTTGCAGTGGGCGTTGGGTAGAAGGCTGAGATGGGGTAGACACGGCTGAAGTAATAGGATGAGGGGGGTGCGGGATGGAGTGGATGGCAGTAGTAGGATTGTTGGATGGGCCAATCTCGAGAACGGGATCCACAAACAAGGAAAGTGGTGATGACGAAGTAACAATGGATTCTTGATATGGAAAACTGTTCTCATCAAACACAACATGGCGAGAAAGAAAGACACGTCCCGTAGTGGGATCCAAACATCTATAACCTTGATGATTTAATGAATATCCTAAGAAAACACACCGTTTTGAACGAAATTGTAATTTGTTATTATTATAAGGATGCAAGTAGGGATAACAGGCAAAACCAAAAACTTTGAAAAACAGATAATGAGGAGGTTTGTGAAATAATTTTTCATAAGGAGACATATGGTGTAAAAGACGAGTGGGCAAACGGTTAATGATATAATTAGCAGTATGAAAAGCTTCGGCCCAATACGAAGTAGGTAAACCAGATTGGGCTAAAAGAGTAAGCCCAGTCTCTACTAAATGACGATGTTTACGCTCGGCTAATCCGTTTTGTTCAGGGTGATGGGGACATGTAAGACGATGTAAAATACCATGGTCATTCAAAAACGTACTAAGGGCCTTATTAACAAATTCCCCACCACCATCGGTTTGAAAAGCTTTAATCTTAACAGTGAACATATTTTCAACCAAATCTTTAAACGTAACAAATGTAGAAAAAAACGTCAGATTTTGAACGCAATGGATAAAACCAAGTATAACGAGAAAAATCATCCACAAACACCACATAATATTTAAAGCCAGAAACAGATAAA